TAGGGAAACAATGTCTTCTACTCTTGTTCCCTTATTCAGCCAGAGTAACGTATTTGCAAATGTAACATTAAGTTCTCTGTTGAATGAGAAAACCCTGCGGGGATGAGTACAGCCTGGGAGTTGCATCTCCCGAATTTGTACAGTTCACGTCCTTGGGTGTTCCCACCCCCTCTTCCCTGTTCCAGTGTGTGCAGTTGTGTTCGTTCTCAATTTATCATTATGGCCTTGGCACAGCGCTCGAATGCTCACTGCCAGCTTAATCCAGCTCTACGTTTAGGACTTCCAGGTGGGATCCTGTGGGCTTGCAGGTGGGAGTTGGGCTGTCAGTTGTCTTCTGGTCAGATAATTAGTTTGTTGGTCTGCCTGCTGAATTTTCTTCTTTGCTCTGGGGATCGTGTGTGGTTTGCTATTAGTTGGAGTAAATCCCAGGAAACTGAGGCCTCAGCCTATGTAAAATAAGCTAGAAGTTTTTTGATCTATGCTCTTTGGAGCTCTCCTGTCAAGTGGCACCACATCTGGGTTATTAGCCGTTCCTGCCCTCCTGCAGGAAACATCCAACCTGAAGATAAACTAAGAAACCAAGCAGAGTTTGAAGCTGTGGAGAGTACGGTGCTTTTAGCTCAAAAGAACTTCTTGGCCTTCATGTGGAATGGGAACATCACCTTGTTTAGAAGGGAGGGAAGGCATATTGTCCAACAGAGCTGGTTAAGAATAGAGGTGGAAGGGAGAAGACATTTTTCAACCTGATCATTTCAGTTATCCAGTTCCACATTGCAGTGATGCAACTGAAGGATGAGCGAGCAGCAGTAAGAGGCAGGAATGATTGGACTGGAGAGAGCGCAACAGCTTAAGCTAGCTGTGCTATGCAAGAAAACGTATCCTGTATTGATCCTTAAGAATTCTCACTGTAATTGGGATTTCTTGCCATGACTTTGTGAATTACTTTGGCATCTTCACATTTCCAATACCTGTTTAAAAGGAGAATAAAATGATTGGATTTTCTATTAGTTTGCTCCTTGTGGCAGTTTGGAAAATATTTTGTTTTAACTTTCTGACTAGCCTTAATAAAATTCATGGTAATAGGAATGCTAGAGCTACATGAGTTTCCCAGGTGTGGCCAAAATGAGAATGACAGTGCTGGATCTTGGTTGTTCTGGAGGAAGAAACTAAGATACGGATGTCGTCTGGACAGCAGGGAAAGGAGGAAATTTGGAGAGAGGAGAAGGGAGGGGGATGATGCTGTTAATGAGCAAGTGGAATGGAAAGACCTTTAGAACAATTGTGAGCTTGGCCCTACTATTACATTTTAGATTTGCAGCAGGTATATGACTGCTGATGTTCGAAGTACAGCAGGGAAATCCAACCTGGCTTAGTTTTATACGGTATATGCATAAGATGGAGGCAGATTATTTTGGTTGAATTTAAGATTCCCTTAGGAATGTTTTAAAGATAAACCTTAGTTAATATTCATAGTAAGGACCTTGGCGATGAAAGCATAGATTAAATTTGCTGAGCCAGCAAAGTAAGAGATCATTGTGGAGGGGAAGAATTTGGGGATATTTTTCCGGAGGGCGTAGATGGTCTTGAAGACGGAGTAGGAATGGAATGAAGCAACAGAAAAGCAGGATGTATGTTTGGGCACAAGACTGAATGAGCAAGGTGATATAGTTGTGCAAGGGGTATATGTTAAGCTGCAGTGCACCAACCAGGATCCCATTAATAATTTATATATTTTATAATATGTAATAAACATATTACATAATAATCCCTGTTGCAGCTAGAAAGAACCTGTCTGGAGAAATTTATGTTGTTCTTTTCACCTGAGCTGTACAGAGATGAACTGGAATGAATGAAGAAGGAATGATAAAAGAAATAGAAAGATGGCTTTATGAGGGGAGATTAGAAGACCTTTATTAGTTTAGTTTGGCAAAGACCTGATAAGAGAGGATGGTTCTCCTTTAGTACTCTGCTGGCCAGAATATAAGATGAGGGTTGTGGGTTTTTTCTTTTTTTTCTTCCAGAAATTACATCTGCAAAAATCAAGTGCTTCCTGTATTCTTAGGTTGCACCAAGCTTGGCTCCTTCAAGAGCCCGATTGATGTTTCCCAACTGCCCAACCTGGCTGCCATGGCTACTGGGCTCTGCAAGCTCTTGCAGCAGCTCTCTGAATTGCATGATACTGAGGATGCTAAATGGGGCTGTCAGTCAAGGCTGGAGTACTTCCTGTGCTTTTTCACCCCAGGACTTGCAGGGATCGGACTCCACAGTTAACATCAGGCAACTTTT